AGCATCCTACAGAATTCCTATGGGCGTTGGATTTATCTGGGCAATTATCCTTGGTGTTGGAATTCTCTTCCTCCCAGAGACTCCCAGATACGATTTCAATCATAACAATGGCACAAAGGCTCGAACCACCATGGCTGGCTTCTATGGCGTCGACGAAAGTCACCCAATGATTGAGATCGAGGTCGCCGAGATCGAGAAGGTTCGCATGGCATCCAGCGGTAACCACCCGTGGTATGAAGCCGTCACCGGTCCAAGAATGCTTTACAGAGTTTCTCTCGCAATGGCATTACAAATGTTGCAACAACTCACCGGTGCCAATTACTTTTTCTATTATGGTACTACTATCTTTGCTGGAGTTGGTATCAAAAACTCCTACGTCACTGCTATGATTCTTGGAGGTGTAAATGTTGGAGCCACTTTCTTCGGTGTCTATATGGCTCGTCGCTTCCGTCGTCGCGAATCCTTGTATATCGCTGCTATATGGCAAAGTATGTGTTTCCTCATCTTTGCATCTGTCGGACAATTTTTGTTCAAGGGCGCTCCAGAGGGAAGTGCCACAGCTAAAACTGCTGGAACTGTCATGATTGTCTTCGCTTGTCTCTTCATCGTTGCTTTTGCCAGTACATGGGGACCCCTTGTTTGGGCATGTATTGGTGAAATGTTCCCATACCGATACAGAGCTGTCGCAATGGCTTTCGCTACTTCGGCAAATTGGTTTTGGAACTTTATGCTTGCATTCTTCACCCCATTTATCACAAACGATATTCAATATGCATATGGATACGTCTTCGCTGGATGTAATCTTGCAGCTTTCTTTGTCGTTTTCTTCTTCCTAGTTGAATCAAGCGGAAGAACTTTGGAAGAAGTTGATGCCATGTATCTGTTGGAAGTTAAGCCTATTGGAAGTCATGCATACACCTTTGATGCTGCTACCATGGCAACTTTGGGTACGGATATTAATACTGACGCTATGAATTTGGAGACAAGAAATGGTAAGCTTCAAAAAGTTAATGAAGCTGGCCAAGGTGGAGTCTTGCACGATGAGGGACTCCCAGCAGGAAATCAGTCTCCCAAATATTAAGTTCGGGTGATGGACGGGCACCACGAAAATGTGAGCATTTTACTGTGGGGTAGTGTTCGGCTGAGTATGATTGGATGATATTCTTATTTTGTATATATCACCTTTATATGGGTTGATGGTTAATGTTTTTGCAATGCATAGCGTGGGTCGGATTGGGTACAATTTTTACCTTTGTATATATACCATCATGTCGTTAATTGATTAATGAATAAAGACATCTTATGTTCAACAATTATTCCAAAGTCTTTTTATCACATTTCACAACGCCTAGCATATGATCGCCGCGTCTGAAGTTATTTTGGACTCGACTTTGAGAGAAAGGGGTTCGGAAGTGTAAGTCCAATTTGGGATTGCATCGACTTCTCCCATTAAGGTCGGCTTCCTTTTCCCCTCATTACCACGCACCACCTCGCACCTCGCACCTCATGACTTACGTTACCGCTCGACGTCTCGATATATGCGGGCAATATTTATGGCAACAATTCTTTGTCAGGCATCGAACAAGATATGTTATGCTATGGTTGATGACCCCATCTCCATCTAATCTAATCTTGCCCCCACCATCTCCCCTCAAGCGTACAGGAAATCCACGACGAAAGTATAAATTTGGGAGCTGACAAAAAGGAGATACAAATAAATAGACAAGCAAGTGATGCATGTTCCCAACGAAACATTTATAACCCAAGAAGCAACAATTAAATTCAGCAATTTGGGAATAATTCTCATGCGACATTCACCTTCACTTCCGCCCCTTTTAATGAACGCAAGCCCACACCCGGTTCCGAATTACCTTTCAGCAACATGGTGGAACGATTTTATGTCTCTTTACAACCTTTGGTCAAATTCGTGCCATTCGATAATGTGCGTTAAGTTTTCAAGAGCAACTCAAAAGTTTGGAGGAACATGAATAATCCAAGAAATATTTTTCGATTATATGCGAAAGCGGGAAATTCTCCTTCAAACACCCATAAAGTCCAATCTCATTTATTAATACAAATGGCACAAGTGAAGAGCGCCTTCGAGAGTGACCACCTTGGCGTACCTTAAGTCTAAATATCAAACTTTCCTCCAAAAGAAGGATCTTCCTGTTGTCGCGTTTGGGACGATCTGTTGTTTTACCAAATTTGCCTTGAGAGATTTATTACTTCCATGTGTCTCGGACCTCGAAGAAATTTGGAAAGAGCGGTATTTGGTGGCATTTGTTGTTGACACGAGACTTCAGGTAGGAAGGGAGAGAGAACACGAGCATTGCAGATTTTTGCATCTGCTGCTGTGCTTGGAATACAAAATCTTGCTTCAGTTTCTATGCCCATGATTGAAATTCTTGGCCACCCAGTCTTCATGCTCGTTCCAAGTAAGCCTTGCCTTGTCTTGATTGATGGAGACTTTGGTTATATCATGACTTCATGAATGAGAAAATGCTTCATCAAGATTTACCACCAAGGGGAAAAAGGAGGTTCCAATAATACATAAGGTATCATACCCTAGTATCAATAGCATTGAAATGTTGAGCTTTGGTTGTGTTAAGTTTTGAGGATTTACAGAAGTAATTCCTTGAGAAGATCGTCGACATCGTGCGTCAAGACAAATTACCATCAGTACCAAAATTCCATTCGTGTTTGTTGATCTTAATTTTCAGGAGTAACAAACCAAGAATCATCATCTTCTTGATCAACCATGACTCTGAATATGGAAGTATTTTGAGCATACCCAAATGACAAAAGAGTGGTAAAAATTAATGTTAATTAAAGGATAAAGGAGGGAGGAGGGAGGAGGGAGGGAGAGGATAAATAGAAAGCACCCATCCTGATAAAATTACTTATTCGGGACCGTCGGGCTTCAAGGTCTCAACCTCGGACCCGGGATGAGGCAAAGTACCATGGAAGTAAAGCACAACTGATTCTCTTCTATGATCTTATCAATCAACGGGAATCATACGATATCACATTTGTTGAACAACTTCTTGGATCTTGGCCACAACCAATAAATCATTCCTTTGCCAACAATCAAATTGCCACGAGCGTGCCGAGTTTGCCTTTTTTTCCTTTTCACCCCGCAGCATAACATCACATAGGTAACACGGCAGTGACAATGGGTTTGCCGTAGTACCGAGCCTTCTTCCTACCTTTGTTAATATTCATTCAACATTTGAACTCTCGAGCGCAGCGAGGTCTGGGGGTTTGGGGGCTTGCCCCATTTGGATAAAGGTTGAAGAATAATTAATGATATTTTTTAATTATAAGAATACCGGTAACATAAAAAACAAACATTCTTTGTTTGGCCAATTCGCACGTACGTGTAAGGCAACAACCGTAATCACTAAGAATCATATCATAAGCCCCCTCTCCGATCAAAATATAAAGTATTCAACACATAACAGCCAACGAACCAAGCATATTCAAGCCACTCTCTTGCAGCTGAAGTTTTTCGTTTCTCCGTACAAAGTACTCCATATACCTTGTGAGCTTGTTTTCTCTTTCTTGATTCAACCAATCCCATGCGCAATATTGAATTGATCTGTCACTAGCCACTCTGAAACCCAGATGCAAATGCATACTTGTGCTATCAATGCCACTCTTATCCCGGAGTAGACGTTTATGGGTTTGCCGTGCTCCCGAAATCTTCATACAGCCGTAGCAATATGGGGCAAAATGTTCAGAGCATAAAATAGATTAGAACAAGCATGGAAGCATGGAAGCATGGCATCCATGAATGGTAACGAGATTTGGTTTCACTGAAATCTGAAAATCAATTTATCGAGGGAGGAGTTTAATCCTAATCTGATCTTTAATAGCGTGGAAGGTAATTAATGATATTTAAAATTAATCATTCAAGAAAAGGAATCTCGTCGCCGTGGAAAGAGTCCCTTGTTATATTCTTTATGATTGGATTTGAAGTGTGTTAACAGATCTTGAAGGAAGCGCGTACCTCCTACATGCCCAGTATCTATCACCTACCAAAGTAACACATCCTACGAGTCTACGTATATAAGATGTGCAGTTAATATGTAAGGTAGTCACTGGTCAGTCAATTGCACCCTAGCCCTAAAATTGCATACGATGTATTACCATCTCGAAAACCCCTCCCCAATGAACTTCAACCGTCAATCCTCGTGATGACAACTTTTACGTCAGGAAGACCTTTTCCATCAGCCCAACCATTCAAAACTTCGAAAATCTTACCTGGGTAGTCAAGGTAGTGAATCTTCTCAGAATAGGATTAGAAGTTAGAACACACTTAGAACCAATAACCTTGCCAGTCCCTACCCTTTCTCGAGCCCTTAAAAAGCTTACTTTGTATGCCCAGATATTCAACATCTTGGAACATGACCCCCTGTTTAAATATTTCTCCATTTTTTAATGCACTTCTGAATCACTGCGCCCATCAAGACAACCTGAGAGACATTCATAATAATACCTGGTACTCATAGATTCTCATTCATACTTATCTTATTACTGTATGGAAAACGGAAACTAGAACTAAATTGAGCTTATTTGTCAGTGAATGATTTAATATCTGTAATTGTTATTTCGTTTGTGTTTGGGGGTTTGGAATGAATTACCTTTCATACAATCGATCAATCGATCAGTCAATGAATCAAGCCAACAGTCAAGAGAATCCATCTGTGAGCCAGAGCCAACAAGTGAAAACTCTCGAGTATTCCAGAATACGGTGTGGTAGAACAGGATTCATAGTTGAGCCATTGCATATTTAGGTTTCTGCATACTGCAAGCCTACACCAAACAGGAAGGAATAGAGTCAGCAACCTGTTGAACTTCACGAAAACCATTTTACATATTACTTCTCTCAATTGTCTCACTCATATTGAAGATCCTTTTATTACCTCGACCCTACCTATCTATCTCTTTACTATACCTTCAGTTTTGTTCTTCTCAAAAGAGAATACAAATCAATCAAAATGACGGGTTCATTCTGGCACAATGTCCTAACATTTCGAAGACCATCATCATCAACTTCCTCAACTTCTACAACATCCGACTCAATAGATTCCTCCTCTAGCAGCACCCTAAATTTAAGTGTTCGATCCAGTCACAGACTATCCCGAAAGCGACGAGAAGTATTTGGTGATTTCGATTACACCTTCGATAATGAGAGTATGAATGCGAATATGCAGGAACCTTTAGGGATGGAGAGAAATTCTCTGGGTAAGGATACAGGATTTCCGGAGCCTTTGAGCCATGGTATGTTATTGTTCCTTCTTTCCTTCTCGATCCTACGTAACGGAATCATATGGGTTGAGGATCAAGGAAATAAGCTGACAATAAGATAGATCGCAATACAACACTCCCACACCCCGAAGCAGATACCTCACCCTTTGCAACCCTCGAATCCACAGAAGTTGACATTTATCGTTCTCATTCACGACTTTCCATTAGGAGACTTCATAGCAGACATAAAGGATCACATCTAAGCGTACCTTTATACGAGAGCAACGAATACACAAATGGTAATCATGTCCATGGTGATATGAAGACGATAGAAAAGGATGTCGAAAAACAAAACGATCTGGTCGACCCACCCAAAACGGTAGAAGAATTTGTGGAAATAGAGGATAGAGATGATCAAGGGTATAGACCGGGAGACAGAAGGAAGGGCGTACTCAGAAAGTTAAACTTACACAAAGTTTAGAAGGGATTTGATAAACAAAGGAATCAGGAGTTGAGAATTTTGAAGGAGAAATTTTGATGGACGCAGAACGCAACACAAAACTGGATGGGGTGGGATGGGATTTGATCAAGCAAGCGAGGAGTTTAATGGATTTGGAGTTCGGATATTTGAAAGGTTGATATTGGTATCCCTTTGTAATTATTTCTTTCTCTCAACAGAATCATGAAATAACTTCATTCATGAAAATAAACAGCATAAGACCCCAAACTAGCTTCCCCGATAAGTTGTATAACTGTATGGTCCCAAAAGTAGCGGAACGTGGAAATGTTCTCCTTCCTTAACTACGAAGTTGAGTTCAACGCAAGGGAAGAAAGTGTTTTCGTAACCATAATATGCGCCGGTCTCAAATCGAAGTTTCCACATGCTAGAACCCATTGGCAGATTCTGATTTTTAATCTTTCCCCCTTCAACAATCAATTCGCCGACTTTTTTGGATGTGGCATTCTCTTGTTCATTACGCCAATTAGCGATTCGACCGTCGGCATTTGTTATCGCACGAAAGATGGTGGACTCTTCGGAAAGGCAGATTAAAGAGACATTGATTCCCGGAGCTGGTCGACCAGTAGTAGTGTCGAGAGCATGACATGTAATTGGATCCCTTTCTGCCATTTTTGTTATTTGCAAAGTAGATGTTGATTGAGGGGTAATTTGGGAGGATATGGCTTGTAGACGTTCGTTGAAATATTCAGAGGTGGGGTTGCGGGGCATCGATTGTAAATGGTGTGAATGAGTGAGAACTGTAGATGGAGGCTCGGGAGGGTGACACGAATCTCTATTAAGTCTGGAGGATCCTCAATAAAGGAAATTGCGCTGAGTAGTGTTGAAGAAGAATGAAGCAATAACAATTCAAAGTTAATTATTATATTGATGAAATCGATTGTAGAGAAAGAAATACCTACCTAGTAGTGAATAAAGCTTGCCTCGCAAATCGGAGATGGCCGCTTCAGCCTTGTGTTAACGCTTAATGGAGGGAGGGGGGTTAGGGACTAGTTAGAAGCCTTTGTACCGGCTTTCCAATTATACTTTGGACTTTATGAGTATTCATATGAGATCTAAATTGAAGTGAATGCGATGACATTGTTTGATTGCTTGAAACTCGAGTACATTTGAATGTGAACACACCTTAGAAATGTGTTGACCCAATGATTAGCCTGGTAGGGAGCTTCCCGGGCTAGCGAATCAAATCACTTATTAGCGCACTGTACGTTTTGACAACTTGCAAGAAGACGTCAGAAGGCAAAAGATAATTCTAGAATCCACCAAGAACTTTGAATTTACAAGGAACTCAAGAAACGACATCGACCATCATTCAAACTTGACTTCCATTACTCAAAATAACCTTTCACTCTTGTTCCCTTTTCCATTTTGCCATCTTTGAGTTAATTTTACCTTATCATCAAATAAATTAAGGATCTTACCCCAGTTTAAACAGTTTCCCCTCCTGCCACAATCCCGCCATAATCAAGATGTCCACCGCAGTAATCAACACTGACGATGATCAACTCGAGCCTACTCTCCAATCAATCCTTGATCAAAAGTCTCTTCGCTGGATCTTTGTTGGTGGAAAAGGCGGAGTAGGAAAAACTACAACATCATGTTCCCTAGCCATTCAACTCGCCAAAGTCCGTCGTTCAGTTCTCCTCATTTCAACAGATCCAGCACATAATCTGAGTGATGCCTTTTCGCAAAAGTTTGGAAAGGAAGCTAGACTTATTAATGGATTTGAGAATTTGAGTGCCATGGAAATTGATCCCAATGGTAGTATCCAGGAACTCATGGGACAGGCTGAGGAGGGTGAGGGACCAGCTGCGGGCATGGGTGGAATGATGCAAGATTTGGCCTTTGCTGTTGGTTTTACTTGCCCCTACAAAGTAATCACCTGAATTGTTCATTTACTAATTCCTTTGATAGATTCCCGGTATTGATGAAGCGATGTCGTTCGCAGAAGTCCTCAAGCAAGTTAAATCTCTCTCCTACGAAACCATCATTTTCGACACCGCTCCAACAGGTCATACACTCCGCTTCCTTCAATTCCCTACCGTTCTAGAGAAAGCCCTTGCGAAAGTCTCCCAATTATCCACACAATTTGGACCTATGTTGAATGGTTTACTTGGAGCCAATGGTTCTCTACCAAATGGACAAAATCTCAATGAAATGATGGAGAAACTAGAAGGTCTCCGCGAAACTATTTCTGAAGTTAATGGACAATTCAAGGACGAAAATCTTACTACCTTTGTTTGTGTCTGCATACCCGAATTCCTCTCTCTTTACGAAACGGAGCGTATGATTCAAGAACTGGGCTCCTACCACATCGATACCCATTGTATAGTGGTCAACCAGTTACTTTTCCCTAAGAAAGGAAGTGATTGTGATCAATGTAATGCAAGAAGGAAGATGCAAAAGAAATATTTGGAACAAATTGAGGAGTTGTATGATGAATTCAATGTGGTGAAGATGCCATTATTAGTTGAGGAAGTCAGAGGAAAAGAAAGATTGGAGAAGTTTAGTGAGATGCTCATTACTCCCTATGTTCCACCTGCTGGAGGATTGTAGATTTCTAGAGAAAGATATATAAAGCAATGAGATTTGATACCCACATTCATGTCGCTCTTCATGTCGCCTTTCATGCCGCTCTTGATGCCAACTTCCATGCCCCCCTTCATCACAACTTGTGCGACACATTTCCAGTCAGTCACACGCATGTATCAGACATACCTCCAATTGCATTCATTCATGTACGCAATGGGGAGCCAACCATTTCATTGATTCATCGCTTGCTAGCTATCAGACCATACTTTTATGAAGATCCTCCTTGATGACTTTTTTATGTGTCGTCAATTCATCATCCAAATAGCATCCGCATCCTCGAATCATCGCATGCTAAGATTCATCGATTTAAATTTTCCCGCTTTGTAACCTCTATCTCCCCAATGCCACAGTGTGCCCCTAAAAGGAAACTCACAACTCCGAGAACTGGAAGACAGCTAGCACTTTTGGATATCATCACAAGCCAAACCTTTTCATTAAAAGAATGCCCCTTATCCCCCTCTCCCAACGCCAATTGCCAAATGATTTTTATTCTGATCCATCAAACTTTTCCACGTCCATCGCTCCCTCATGTCCATACCACGGTTTGGGAGCCATGGGCATTCTAAAATCAAATCTTATGGTTATTCGTCCCCCTATTCATTAGCATATCCATCATTCGCTGACCGTTGGATAAATTCCAAGAAGTTCGACCGGTTTCAATTCAAACACCCTCTTGAGCCTCTCCTTTTCCTTATAACACAATTTCCCATTTGCCCATAATTCTCCTCCAAAAGTCTTACTGAAATCCTTCATCACTTCTTCCATTCCCTTCACACCAGCCCCATGAGGTGATTTCTTCAGCCACTCTTTTTGGTCCCAATACACCCAGTCATCCCAAGCCGTATTTACACTGACAGACCTTTTCACCCCATCTCCTAAGTATATATCATTACCCGATGTTCCCGCCCTACGAAGAAGCTCCATCCACCGAGAATATAACCCCCAACTTTTATTCGCATCTGGGTTCATACCAGTGAGAAGTTCCTCACTTTTCCACCGCAAGTCCATAGCTTCTGAGACCCTTTGCATCCATTTGACATCCATTTTAATTTCCTCGGTTCTCATGGGGTTGATTTGAACTTTCTTTAAACCACTCCAACTTTCTTCTTCGTTTCTTTCATTACGAAGACCAGAGTTCCCTCCAATTCTCAAAAATAACATTTCAGCCCATTTCAAATCATCGGAATCAGTCAAATCGAGATTTATTTGTAGTGACTGAACATGTATAAAAGTATCGTCACCCAAATCTCCCATGCGAAAAAGTAAATCCGCGGGCCAGAGTCCAAGGCTATTGACTTTCCAGAGGGAGATGATAGCTTCGTTGTATAATTGAGAACAAGTACTCAAAAGACCGAGAGCGGGAAGTGAAGAATTGGAAAGACAGATGTCGTTTTGAGGATCATAAGGTAATATTTTATAAGTATTGCTTAAGGTACAACGGTAAGTGACACAATTGAACGGAGTTTGAAAGGCATACTCGTATATTTCGTCTCGAATTTCTCGTGGGATGTCAGTTAAGATATTGAGATGTTTTTTGATTCGCATTTTGGGCCTAGGATTTGGAAACAGGGGACTGGAAACTGGAAACTTGAAACTGTAAACTGGTATATGAGAACCGGAGATTGCGGAGAGGAGAGAGGGTTGCGGGGGATTGGAGATCAAGGCTAGGGATCTACAACTTTAAAAGTTTGAATAAAAATGGTGTTATATTGTCACATATAGTGAATTGGCACGTTGGATAGAAACGAAAGTCATGCGCTACATATAGAAGTTGCAGGTTAAGAAAAGGGTGTTGTCAGTGTCACAGCCTCATTGTACATCATTAATTGCGCGGCTTAAAAAGTTGTGACCAGCGCCGGTGACCCACATTTCGGATATTCTCCGATGATTTTCACAAGGGTCAATTATGGCATGGAGAGTGAGTGAACAAGTGAATAAATTGATCATCACAATTTGAGACCCCCCAGTATTATGATTTCGGATGATATACAACATTTGGTTCCAATGATTGAATCAAACTCCCGGCTTTGAGAGGTATGGAGTAGTCTGATAGCCCAAGTCCAGGCTAGCTTTGAATATTCCAGAAACTATGAACCTATAAATAATTCCTAATGGATTCAGATTTACCCCCCTCAGAAGAATAAAATCGTGCAAACGTCTTCAACCCCGTTGATCAATTTCCTACCTATGTCTAGGAATAATTTTGAGTTCTCCATCCCTTGAATCAAGCTTCAAACCTTTCACAATTTGTTTTCCGTCTTTCAAACATAACACCCCATCAACATATAATTGCCCGCCAAATTTGTCATGGATTCTGTCTAATAGCTTGCTTGTATCAGTCGTATCAATTAACATTTCTGCCAACCATTTCCTCTTGGCCCAAGGAGACAGTCGAGGCCAACTAGTGTTTATCATCCAAGTCCGATATCTTTTGTCTGTCGAAGCATTTCCAGGATACTCTTGATATAATCTTCCATCGACTATTTCACCATTTTCCCTTAGGTCAAGAATATCCTCAAATTCCTCGACTGTTTGTGGTCGTTCTTTGCTCGCTTTGATTGTAATACTATGCAATTTTTGTAGAGATCCTGCTACTGCTGCCAGACCACGCTCAACCCATTCTAATTCGTCCCAATCCAATACCTCCAATTGTATGAATATATGCCATCGCGTAGCTTCGCCAAGTATTGAAATCCTCTTTTCGAGCTTGGATTTTAAGTCAGGAAGCTCCCGCAATTTCAGTCCCTTATGCTCCCAAATTATTTCCTTGCATTCTCTGTGGACTTGTTTACATGTTCGAAGTATGGAAAAGGACTGCGCAACTTCCATCGACCATGGCGAAAGAGTAATGACACCATTCGGATCTGCAAGGATAAAAGTGTAAATTAAGTCCCGGATCTCTCGTGGGAAAGTTTGGAGGAAAGGCAGAGACATGTCGTTATAACCCAAGAGCTGCTTGTATGCCGTCAGTATATGGAGGAGGTTTAATTGCAGTGTGTTTTGTCTGATGGAGGATATTCTGCACCTTCAATAGTTGCCTCTAGAATATTCTCAAATAACGCGCCTTGCCCGGATCTAGCGAAGTTTCTTCCAATTTTCCAGAAACAGACTTTGAACGAAGTCGCGGGTGTTTCTCGAAGTCGAAACTGCCAATTAAACTTGCACTTTCCTTGAATTGAAGACGGTAATTTTGACTGCTGACTTTTTTCTTGAGAGATTCTGGTTACCTAGTATAGTAGCCTCAGAATACTTTTAAGGCCAAAAAGTATGCTTTGATGCTACCTAGGTTGTTCTTCTTGTTGATAATCGACACGACACTCTCAATAGCTTAGCTGGGTACCTCACTACCACTGGAATGAATTGTTGCTGCTGGTGTATAACATCTTGCCGGCTGGCTATCATAAAGGATTCTACCTTTGGTGCTTGTGGATTTGGAATGATGTGAGGATTTGACGAAAATTGGCCTTGTGCGAAAAATTGAGGTCTCGAATAAATTGTAGCGGTAAGCACTATGTTGGTATCACTGGATATACGAAACGTTGGGTAGGAATTGATTGGTTCATGTGTATTCCATCTCAGTACTGGTACTATCATGAAAATCACTTAACGCGTTCAAACACGCTTTGACCATTATACGCGTCGTGAATACATTCATAACTTTCGTTCCTCCATCAACCAACTTGTTCAAATTTTGTACAGAAGGAATTAACACTTGGGCGCCTTCAATTTTGCTATCTTACTTTGACCTCATTCACAAACTTTGCTTGTATAATTCTTGCCTTGTATCTTTTTGGCGATTCTTGCTTTCTATTACAATTACCATCATGCCTTCTGCGGTCAAGAAAAGAAAGGTCGCGGCGCCTTTTTCGAGAAATGCAGCCACCACCAAGATTCAACCGTTGAGTTCCTTTACTACGATTTCAAAAGCAGTTACAAAGGGTGGAGCAAAGTCAATAATTGAAAAGAATAAACAAACGAATGTGGCATCAGTGACAGTAACTAAGTTAGATAAACCTTCTACGAATTTAAGAAAGAGAAAGTTGGATACAGAAGAGGAATCGAATGTGATTGAGATAGCAACGACTGGTGCGACTGCAACTTCCACGACTGCGACTGCCACGACTGCCACAGAGCTTGAGATACTTCCATCAAAACCGGTCCTCCCGTCAAAAGTTCCACAAACACCGCACAAACTTATCAAAACATCCTCAATCACTATCGATACCCCAACAAAAGGCGCGCGCACTCTGCTCGATCGTCTCCTTCTACAAACCCCCAAAAGACCCGTCCAAAAAAGACCTTCTCTTTCGTCTCTACGATCTATTTCTTCGAATTCTGGCACAGCGATTCCGACTCTTCCTCTTGAACATTCACAAATTGACGCTGAAGGAAAGGAGGAGGAAGAGAACCAAAAAGAGGACCCCAAGGAACCACTCCCTACCGAACTCATCGATATTATGAATCTTCACGCAGCACTTCTCACAACACTCACCCTTCACTGCGCTCATAATGGATCCAATGCACCCGCAGATTTACGGAATCTCTGTCCGGATGTTGCTAGAGCGTGGGGAAAACGGAAGGTCATGCTGGATGATGTCCGCCGGGCTCTTGGTGTCCTGAACTCTCATGTCAAAAATGACGCAGAAGATCAAAAGCTTTCCACGATCACTTTATCAGATTATGGATCCGGGAAAATATGTGTCGAGATTGAAGCTGGGAATGGCGGTGGAAAGGGTAATAACTTGAGGCCGATTGATGAAGAAAGACTCAATGGAATATTTTCGCAAAGATTAATAAGCTGGTGGGAATTGAAAGGGGAGGATGTTACTATTGAGGACTTCATCAAACAGTTACCATCGGAGCCAATCACACCTTGTTCTTCGCTCTCAAAAATGACGCCCCTCCTCGCCAAGGGTCAACGACGACTGGAAGACATGAAAGCCGGCATTGTTGCTAAAAAGGATCTCAGGAGAACAAAATCATCCCCCGCTCTCATTCAAGCTGCGACTTCTACAGATACTTCCTCGCCTCCCTCTACCGAAAAGAAACCTACACTTCTGGAGCGTCTCCGCGCAAAACAACTTAAACAATCTCTCCTTCCTCAAGCGCCATCTCCTGCGCAAGTAGCTCGCAAATCAGCTTTATCAAGAATGGAGGAAGTTGTCAAGGTCCTCAGTATTTTGAGTACGTCGGGATCAGCTGGACAACAGAGAATCTCTTTCACCATGCCGACTTTAATTGGTAAATTGAAGGATTCATTCAAGACTCCTATATCGAAAGATGAAGCAACTACTGCTGTGAAATTATTGGCGGTCGAGATTGCACCGGAATGGGTTCAATTGGCTAAGATTGGGAAGATGGAAGCGGTGGTTTTTGATAGGGAGAAGAAAATTTTGGAGGAGAGTGTTAAAGATCGGGTCAAGAAAGCCCATGGTGCTTGAACCTCAACATAAGTTGGATATCGTGAACGAGTGTTGGAAAACGGCTCTTTTAAGATTTTGTATATTGTATTGGTTGAAAAAGATACCCTTGTTTGGTAGTTATTAGGAGTATGATGTACTATGGTTTGTTGGTCTTACTCGGTTCGTTGAAGGATACGGGACACAGAATACAGGATACAGGATCCAGGACTGAGGAGCAATGGACGGGAAGGACGGGAAGGACGGGAAGGAAGGAACAAGGGATGGAAGAATAGAATTGTATAACTAGGGACCGTAAACGGAATGAATAATTACTGAATGACCTTTTATTTCCTCAACCATACTGACCCACGTGATATCGTCAGCGGTAGCGGGTGCCCGTCACCAGTCTTCCGTGCCAAATGTTGTCTTTTGGGCCAATTATCTGCATCGTTTCGGCATCATCTTATGGGGGATGTTCGTCCTGAACTAAGGCTGCTACAGCGCATCCTATACAGTGATCCTATTCGGGTGTCGGCCAAGATCAAGCAGGAAAGATCAGGACCCTTAGGTTTATTTAGTAAGAAGAACAGACTATGCCAGGAAACAGTCAAGACATTGTAAATCAGTTGGAGAAAAAGGTTTGAATTGAGTAAATGATTCATCTACTCTGATAGACCATAATCGCCAGGTATAATAACATTGAAATCCAACGCAATGAAAACCTCTTGATATCTAATGCTTTCATTTATTCTTTCATGCATCTCATCTATTCATAAACTCCATAGCTTGAAGTAGCGACCATTCATCATCCACCGTCCACCAATACTCATTTGATAGGACTCGCCCACTTATATCGTCATCACACTATCCGCATTTACTCATCATCGTCCACTCCACCTGGAGTCCCAGTCTTAGGAGTACCAGTCTTGGGAGTACCAGAAACAGGAGTTCCACTCTTCGCGCTTGGTGGCCCAGCCGTAGGAGGAACAATTTTGATTGTAGTCTTAACGGGTGCTGCCTTTGCTGCAGGGGCAGGTGTAGCATTCTTCTTTGGTCCTCCAAACTTCGAACCTCCAATATCATTTCCACGTAACTTAATACCCAAAACACGTTCCATATTGTTCAAAACTTTCTGATCAGGAGTGGCGACACCCCTTTCCATGTCGTTGACAATCTTTGGCGTAGTGTTGCATAGTTTGGCGAGGTCGGCTTGGGTTTTGATGTTTTTGGCCTTGCGACCATCTTGAATGGCTCGGGCTACTTCCATACCGACGGTCTTTGGCTTAATGATTTCATCGGAGCGGTCGACTTTGGTGAGATGTTGACCTTCTCCTGAAGAACCCTATTATTGGAATAGGTTAGTTTGTGGCACATGGCGGTCGAATGTAAGGCTTGCGGAAACAAGGTCGCGGGGTCGCGGGGTAAATCTTAATGATTGAATGGATTCGACTTACAGCATTACCGGAAGCAAATTTCTTCTCGGTGGTAATGGCTCCTCCACTTCTCTTAGCAGCGTTCAATGCAGCAGCTCCTCTAATGACAGTCTCTCTGTTTGCGCCAGCTCCTCCACGAACATTCTTTCCAATCTTTGTAGTTGACTCCCAGTCATCCATTTTGATTGATTTTTATGTGGGTATTTGATTAAAAGGTATTTCCTGAAGGGATAAAATGTTTAATTGAAAGGAAAGGGATTCCGAAATTTATCGAGGGTATTTGACGCTGATGTTGTTGTATGTTGTAAAAAGCTGAAGAAGGATTGATGACTTCTATTTGTGGCAATTGAATAGCGCTTCCTTTCGCCGAATGAATCAGATACAAAAAGAATTTCTTATGTAAGCAGGGTTAAGTTATGTCGTCAAGCGGTGAGTGCCGTAGAAGGGATACTTTACTGTATTGAGATGAAATGGTATGGCAATATATCCTTGTATGACTCTAGACTTTGATTTCTAAGAGTAGTGTACCAGTACGTACCCATTGACTATATGCATCGTGTAATTTACACGTTCAGACAATTCTAAAACATCATTGCTATTCTATCATACGAGAACCTTGAGGTCTTATATATAGAGGCCGTCCCGTATATACGTTTACCTTCGGTTTCCTTACGATTCATAATTCTCGAAATTAGGAACGTTCGGCAAAGAAAAATGCATTATCAAAGAGCTCAATATCGCCTCCCCTAGACTTCCAAACCGCATCATGGGTGTTTCTTATTTTGCATTCACCTCAATCACACTCATTGGGTTATTCGGATCAGTGTCCGATATATCAACTATCTTCGCCTTTTCTATTATACGGAATAGACATTCATTCTTACAATCAATCCAGAAATATGTTGACCTATCAACCATTATCACCGTTGCCACGAGCACGAGTGTCCTGTTTTCAATTCTTCAAATTATTCGATATGCCCGAGGGCTTCAGGTAGCATCTACCAATCCAGATGATCAATTTCTAAAGCCTATGCTTTTTCCTACGAAAACGAGTCATTTGAGGTTATTTCCAAAGATACATGGTTTCTCATACTCCTACCTTTTAACTGGCATACCCGTTGGTTGGACAGGATCTTCAGGAGGAATGATTTCAGTCGATGAAAAGAATGATGGGCTTCCATGGTATAGAAGATTATTATCATTTCAACCAATGAGTCCTTGGTATGTCGTGGATGGAGATTATTATTTGGAGAGGGGTCATGTCTCTGGTGGACTAGAAGGAAAATTGAAAAGATTTCTTCACGATCAGGTAATTTTGATTTTTAATATGTTCAGGATTCTGTTGACAAAATCTAGGGTTTAAATCATGAAGATTATCCATTTGCTTATCTCTTGACGTCTTCTAAGTTTCTTGGGTATCAAAATAATCCAGTTTCAATATGGAACCTTTATTCAAGGAATAGAGAATTGAAAGCTGTCATCCTCGAAGTCAATAATACATTTGATGAACGTCATACTTATTTTGTTACACCAAAAGATGCGGAAGATTCCAAAATAGAGGAACCAAAAGGCAAACCACCAAGATTCACAAATACTTGGTCCAAGGAATTTTATGTTTCTCCATTCAATTCTCGAAGTGGTTCTTATTCCGTCTCAGCTTCTGATCCATTTTTCCCATCGCTTTCTGGCAACAATCCCCTGGATCTCACGTTAACGCTTAGTTCTACTGAACGTCCATTCTTAGTAGCAAGAGTCTTTTCTGATGGCCATGCGCTCGACCCATCTACCATGTCGGTACTTGAGAAGACTAAATTTCTGTTATCATGGTGGTGGGTAGGATTCGCTACATTCCCTCGAACATTAGTCCAAGCCTCCATATTATTTTTCAAACGGTCCTTACCATGGGTTTCGCGTCCGGAACCATTCAAGAAGACTATTTCCAGACATGCCGATGACACTCAAAAGTCTATTGAGGTATTATTTCGACAATTCTTACAACATCTTATTGAGGTAGCGGACCAGCCTTTAGTTTTGAAGTACAGACCTGCCGGACTTCTTGATAATACCCCAGAAATCATGTTTTCCCCATCAGCTCGGATGTCACCAGAGTTGGCAAATTCCATGGAAATATTAGTACTTACACCGATTTTCTACACCCAATTCATCAAGTATGTCGACATCGTTCAAGGTCTTGAAATGGAATCGAAAAATGAAACTGTATCCATCTCTGATTTGAGTCTTCTATGGACCCGGCCTTTGAAGTTGGAGATGCAGCAAGCAGTAACAGAAAATTTCCATTCATCGGATGAAAATACTCTTACCTGTCTATTGTTCCGAGCAATTCGTTCCGCTCGTATATGCTCTCATGCTGATTCTGCTGCTCTTGCTGCTCTTACTGGAATTGTTTTTTCATCATTTGACAAATACATCCTGGAGCGTACCGATAATATCACTTTGATGTTATACCAAAGGATACTGCTCAAGATGTGGCTTTGTGATTGGGTCGCTTTGGGATGGGAAGATTTATTGGATTTCCAATGGTGGTTGGTAAAGACTGGAGGCTTTTGGTGGTTAACGGGAAAGATGTGGTTCATTTATTTAAATGCATACACTGGCTTGGAATATTGAAAGCATGATGTTGGGAATAATGTATGGTAGATGTGGGGAATATCGAAGGATGATGTGGAAATACTTGAGAGCTCAACCCATCAAGTCTAGCAACATTCGTATGCTCTCACCTACAAATTAAAAACACGAGATATCCCCAAATCTCCAATTCCCACTACCCTCACCGTTAGACCTTGGGAACGTCAAAAAATACTGAAACCTAGCTTACCCTCTTTTAGTGCGGGGTGTCGACGCGCATCCCCTTCTCCCAAAACTCTCTCTGCCCAAAAGAATAATTCTAAGACTTTGGTATCTTTTCGAACGAATTGAGATAGCGTGATTCCTGCTGGTAGTCTGATATTGGTAGTTTTTATTGTCTCTTCCCTCTTTTGCTCTCAAGCGATTTGAACATTGATGTTCTGCGCAACAAGCTTCACCCCGTCGACCGTCATTCCGCTTTTTTGTGGTTAGTACCACCTTAATAATTCGACGGTAACATATCTGCTTGTAGCTATAGCGAGCACTTCCCTCAAACTTTGCATCTGTCTGGGATATCCACCGGCACCTAGCGACCTTTGGCTTCGCGACCTACTCCCATCTGAAGCCGAAGCAATCAATTTTTTGGACGGGCTTGGACTCAACGCACCCCCGGTCGTGAAGCTACCCCGACGAACCAAACAGTATGTGCTCCGCAGATTGGATTGACGTTTTGTAAAGTTCCTTGATGTCGCACGCTCAAGTCCCTGTTTTTTGGAATTTATTTGAGCTTCTCCGAGTCGCGCACTTAGAAGACGCCATGGTCAAATCCAATCACCGTAGAATGCTCGCAGTGGGTGTAGTCCTGCCGACGGGAATTTTTCTTCTGCCATTCTGATGCTAGAGCTCGAAAAGCTTCGCAAACTACCGCATTAATGTTGTCGTGAAATTGATTGGTTGACCGAGTCGCTTTGTGTTCTAGTTGCGGGGCAGTCAGCTCAAATCCAATCACTCATTCCGTCATTTGGAACGTCGGGTTCTCATGAATTCACCTTGATCAGTCCATCTCGCTTTTTGAAATCATTCTTCGCGGCTATCCAAATATGCAATTAAATACAGCATTAGTTATTCGTTGCTCGTTGAAAGCGCTGTGGTGATTGAGTTCGCGTCGAAAGCCATTTTCTTGTAGAGGTCAATGAGGCTCTGGGAGGGTAATTTATTTTAAGTGGACGTGCTTCAGGCTATCACGTAAGCTAGAGGCTATGTACCTATGTACACACCAAGACATCTTGCCAACGCCATCATAGGCCTATCATGCCTATCAACGCCAAAGTAATTGGTGGGGTCAAGGCGCTATGAGTCTGTAATTTAGCGTGTCAAATGAAGGTCACCCAAATCTTACTTAGGAATAATTTTAAGACTTTTGAGATACCTATTGTTTTTCACATCATCAGGATATCGGATGGATCTATTTGAGTATCTGTCTAGGAATCATGAGTCACTGGATAAGAAATCTCCTGATTTGATACATCTAGCCTTTCATAACTGATCAACACAATCTATTCACGGTCTCGACTATCCATCTATTTCAGTATCCTTCAAACGTACTCTTGCGTTTGTTTTCATAGTTCATCGCATTGGGCAGTCGGAAAGAGAATATGAAGCTGGGGAATTCACAGCCACTTGAGGAGTATTTTCATTTTGAAATCGATATATTTGCTATTTCCTATTTGCAATCGTCTGAACTTTTGACTAGTCGTCAGTGCGATCATAAACTTTCTCCAGAAACAAATCTGGGGCATATCATGTCGCGAATGAATTTATGCACAGTATTCGGATATGCTTTTCGACTCTTGAATATAGTCGTCGACAGAAGAAGCTTTCTTGGCCAGGAGATCATAGGCTTTGCGTGCATTCTACGAATTTTCCCCTCGTTGAGATGCCTTGGAATCACCGCTTCCATCGCTCCAAGACTCCAAGTCAAACGTTAGACCAAAACAGCAAGTGAAAACAAGACTTTACTATTGTCGGATTGAGAGAAGGTTGCGAAATGTTCTTTCCCCAGTATCTTCAACATTTCTTTCCGATGCCCAACTCGATACATGTACAGTTATCACCAACTTCTACCACAAGTTTGTCGGGAAGTTTATACTTTTGGGTCGAAACAGAATTGTGAAAGTTAATCGAACAAGCCAAAAAATCATAATCTCAACTCCATATCAACGCTACCTGGCCTCTGGCCTCAACTGAATACCTTCCGTCGCCTCAAACACCCGTGAGTTTATGACGTCCGAATTAAAGTTTGTCTCATAAAACCTTTCCATATGGTTTCAATACATGGAATCTTTTCACATTGTGGGGTTACAATTTTATAAATAATCTTTTAATGTCCTCTTGTATTTCTTGCTCTGGTATCCTAAACAATCATTTTTCAATTTACTTAATTATACCAGCAGGCAGGTATTACACATCAGGAAAGTTGACCTTTCTTACAAAGCCTCACACTCATTTCCAATTCTTAAAAAATAAAATTTAAATCGTCAAGATGCGAAGTTACATCCAGAGCATTTCCTTTCTCCTCCTTTTATTGGGTACCTTTATTCTCGCAGGTCCCATTCAAATCGAAAACCCGACGGTACCATCGACTCCAAAACCAACAACACCAGTCAATAAGATGTATAGTCTTTCATCTCGTCAAAAGATGAATATGACTAGCGGTGACACCAACCCTAAATCTTCTACAAGTTCCGCTGGTGCCAAATCAACTGGAACATCCACTGCATGTTCACCAGAAGTTCAAGCTCTTGCATCGGGAATTAGTTCGAATATCGCTGATCAACGTAATGAACAAAAAGCTGTGACAGCTGTTGGAAAGATTCTTCAACAATCACCTTTTAATACCTCCATGTTTGATGCAGCACAATCTTCTCTTATGACTTTTGTTCAGAAAGGAATTCAAATTCGACAAAACAATCAAAAGATAGCTCCAGCAGGAAATGGTGCCATACCCGGTTTGGCAATTGTCGCAATGGCACAACAGGAAGAGTTAAATTTAACCATGAGTTTAACTGCAAGTAATGTGGCTGGTAGTAATGCGACTGTTGCAAAATTGAAGACAGATTTTGCAGGTGGAATTGTACAAAATATGAAAAACTTGGCGGCGGCAACTAAAGGTTGTAAAATGCCCAGTACTACTACATAATTTATGTCGGGTTTGGTCAATTACCTAGGTAGTCAACAGGCAAAAATCATTCATGGGGGACGCTGGCCACTCTGTAATGTAGTAAATATAATATATATTTCACCTCACACAAAGATTGGCAAAGTACATGTGATGATCATTCATGCCGCCGGGTTAAGTCTCTAGTTCATGAGTCAAACCTCAAACTGCATCATCACAAGAATCGGACAATTATAATCAAAACGTTTCGCATCGCATGCACTTCCATAATCTATCAATATTGTATTCATTTTCGAACGTCTATTTAACAAACTGTGCAATTAGCAATCAGCGATCAGTAACCAGCAACCAGCAACGAGGTACCATTCGTACATCCAATCATCCATTCATTTAATAATTATCATCCATTTTCAAATCCGTTATCAAACAATTTCTACCATCCATACGTCAATAAATCTCATACTCACCACCACTCATGTCCACTTCATGTCCAGTTCATATTTAGCACATGTCCACCTCGGCGAATTCATCTATGATAAAGCTTATTCCTCGAATCTTGCACGTTCAGCAACGTGTACTAAATAATAATGTCAGGTAAGCGTACTTCATTTCCTTTATTTTGCCAACGAAAAGAGATTTGAGTACTCACACTACACAATTTAATTCCACCTCCTTCAACTCCCATACCTGGCGCTACCGTATCAATTTCTCTATGTAAAGCTCTCAATCCCCTGAATTCCATACTCTCCCACCAATCCAAATAAACACTTGCGGTAATACCCTGCCACTCAAAGATGTGCATTTCCACCAATATTTGGCCAATAGGAAATTCTGGTTTCAATGGATTTGGAGATGTAAGTGCACCAGCGCCGCCAGGAAGCGTATATCCATTCAAGGAAGAGAGAGCATTGTATTCCGAATATTCGATATCCGTCTTCAAAATGTCACTATTCCCACAAAAATCAACTATTAGTTTTTTTTTCTTCCTCAATTCTTGTCCAAGAAAAGATTTCTGGCAATGAGGACCAGGGGAATGTGCGGCTTTTAGAAACTCACATGTAATCATGTCCATTCCTTTTCATCATGTCTTGAATTGTAACAAGTCGATTCGCATCATCCGTAGCACTATTTGCTCCATTTCTTTCAAAATGTGCTCTTGCTCTCATTTCTTCCGTAACTTCTTCACCAAAATTAAACCCTGGCACATGCTGATCATAACCCCAAATTTCACATTTCGTTCGACTAAGTATTTCGGCTTCGAATGATGAATCATTTCCAACACCTATTTTGGCTTGAGGTCAGCCATGAATCCAACGCTCATGAATTAATTACTTACCAAAACTATAGACCACGCAAGGTTCTTTCTTCTCAATAAATTTACTAATTCCACAAATCCACCAACCTCCTTCTCCAATTCTTCCAAGTCTTTCCATTTCCCATGGACAACCATAACTTGGAGTAACTAAATCCCAAATACTCCAAGGAGTTTCTTTGAAAGTAATTTCATCCTTGGCAGGAAAAAATCCTTGATCTGGAAAATGATGTCTAATTTCTCTTCTTTTTGTTACCCCTCGTTGATATATAATTTCGGATTGTTGCATGAATGTATTGAGGTTTGGACGTGATATAGGTATGAAATGAAAAGTTCCTAATGTTGGTATGGAAAATGGTACTTTTGATCTGGCTTTTGATGGAACAGCGATGAATATAGCCAAAAGAATTAATGAAGTTAAAAATAATGTTTGAACAACATTATTGGATCTCATGATGAGATTAAGTTATTGGTGTTTTGTTGTGGATTTATTTTGGCTAGAAGTTTATAAGTTACGAAATACGAATGAAGAGGAGTTAGGAGGAGTGGATTTTTGATCTTTTAGCTTCAATCTTCTTTTCAATTTTATGGCGTTCATGAGTACGTACATGTGGAAATAAAGGCAATTGTTAATTCTCAGCCCATTAGATTGTAACCAATAGAATTATAAAAGTTTTAACAAATGTTTCTGTTTTCTTTTTATGACTCGTCGAAACTCCTTGCTTGATTGTGGAGAGACATTATTTTCCAACGTCGGCAATTCTAGGAATTTTTGGTTTTATGTCATTTGATAGGTGTTTTGGAAGCATCTCAAGAATTTTGAATTTGATCAGAAGGAAATGTTAAATCTTAAAACCTCTAATTCTTTTAACGCTTCGATATTATGATTTATTTCCATACCCTGTGGTGGCAGAATCCGTGGTTGACGAAGTGATCCTTTCGTAATTGTTATAAATTCTATAATACCTTCATTATATATTAAATAAATCGTTTTTAAAGTATTAATATAATTAATCTGATTATTATATATAACAAAAGTTTTTTATTTTCAAAGTATTTTATTATTTTTGATAGAATTTATTATTTTTTTTTATATTCAAATTCAAATATTATTATTTTTTATTATATCTGAAATATATATTCATATATAGATCAGTTATTATATTTTGAATCATATATATATTTATATAAAAATTTGAAAATATATAAATTAAAATTTTATATAAATTATAAGATTATAAATAAAAAATATATAAAAATAGTATTATAAATTCTATAATTAATTTATTTCTATTCCTTCTTATTTCTTTTTATCTTTAAGATTGTAATATCTCTATTATCAAATTTCTAGATTATATATCTACTCGATTTCTTTTCTATATTTTAATATAATTATTTTTTATTTATTTAATATTTATAATTATTAGAGTATCTTTTTAAATCTTCTTATTCTTTTAAATCGAACTTTTACCTTGATTATTTTAATCAAATACTTTAAATAAAAAAAGCTTCAATATATTATAGCTTTTTTTTATTACATTATAGCAATAAGAGTATATTATTCTTTAATCTTTATTTATTCTTTTCAAACACAAATTATTATATCCCTTTTATATATATTTCTCTTTATTTTCAAGAGGCTTTTTATTAATATTTTTTTATTTATTAATATTTTCTTATTTATTAATACTCTTTTGTTTATTAATATTATTCTATTCATTAATATTATTTTATTTATTAATATTCTTTTATTTATTAATACTCTTTTATCTATTAATATTATCTTATCCATTAATATTATCTTATTTCTCAATATCTAATAAATCCTTGATTTCCAGATTGCTCCCCTTGAGATTATAGATAGATTAGGGTTATAATAGTAAAGTTCTTAATAAAATTAATACTACTTTTACTAAACTTAGTATTATATTTGATCCTTAAATATTTATATTTTTAATATCAAAAAGAAATAATAACTTTATTTCAATAAAATATATAATATTTCTTTGAATACCTCGATATTATTAATCTTTGAAACCAAATATTAAACCTCTATTCTATTCAAATATTCTTATAGAATATTAGATTCAATAAAATCTAATCTTTTTTAATGTAAAACTTATTCCTTAAGAAGTTTATAAAACTTTAATTTCAATATCTTCTTTTTTTTAATATTACAAGTTTCTTTTTATTATTTTATTTATTTTATATAATAATAGTATAAATAATATTCATAAGCTATAAATTCTCGAAATCATTTAAATTAAGGAATTTATTTAGAGTATTATTTCGAATGTATTATTAAAAAATAAATAATAATACTTTCCAATTATAGAAATTATTTTATTTTTATATACACTTCAATTAATTTTGTATATAAATCCAAAAGTATATAAATATATTAGAATTATAATTATTTTTGAAATATTAAATTAGATATCCTTTTATTATATTAAAAATCGCCTTGAAATTCATTATTATTCTTTTTCTATATTCAAATATTATTATATTTAATATCAAAATAATAAATAATCTATTAATAATAATTATATAAATCAAAGGATTTTATTATTTAAATTGATTCCTTCGAATTAGAATTTGAGATAGGATTTCATTATATTTTATTGAAATAATAGAAAATCATAATATATTAAATATAATTTTGTTTAATAATTTTTAAATAAATTAATAATATAAATAATATAAAACTATTATTTGGGGGGATATCTAATACTTTTAAATATATTTAGAATTATTAATATTTTATATCTATATTCTAATATCTATTCTAATTTTATTAATATTCTTTTAATAATACTTTTGCTTATATTTAATATTCCTAATTTATAAAAATAAGTAAATAAAAACAAGTAAAAACAAGTAAAAACAAGTAAAAACAAGTAAAAACAAGTAAAAACAAGTAAAAACAAGTAAAAACAAGTAAAAACAAGTTTAAAAAAAATCAATTTTTATATCCTTAAAAATCTTTTTATATTATAACAAAATTAATATTATTAATTCCTATAGTTTTTTTTAATATTTATTATAATAATTTAGTATCTTTTTTATAATAATAATTCATTTTATATATTATATTATATCCTATAGAATTATATATTTTAATATATATTTATATAAAAGAAATAAAGATCTATTATTAAAACAAATAGTTAATATTATTTCTATAATCTTTTATAATACCTTAATTATTGAGAATTAAAATCAAAGGTTTATTTTAATTATTTGAATTATTTATTATATAAATCTTATAAATACTGTTTAAAAAATAAGATTTATTTAAATATTAATATAAAATTTAATCTTTTTTAATAAAAACTTTATATATAATTAATTTAATAATTTAATATCTAAATTTAATAAATAATTTTTATTTATTTAGATTACAAACTCTTTTTCTATTAAATAAAAGCCTTTTTGATTTGTATTTGAAAATAGATATTTTAGACTTTTTAATACTTTTTTTAACCTTAGGCTTTCTATTAATAATAGATTTTCTTATTCTAATATTTTTGACTGTTTTGCTATTATATTAGCCCCTTATATTCTTTATATAATCTTTAAATTTAATAAAAAGGGAAGATAGAGTGAAGAAGTTTTAACAAAATGGAGCAAAGGAGTCTTGATAAAATGAAATAAAAAAGTCTTAATAAAATAGAATAAAAGAATTTTGATAAAATAAAACAAAGGA